ATAGCAGACGGATTCTACGGGGCAAGAGGGAGACTCTGATAAGACTCAGGGAAGGACTACGTAACAATATGACAGACTCTAGTCAACATTCTAAGCACAAGGGTGAAGGGGGTGATAACGACAGTGTGGATTGTGAAGGGTTTTTATGAATGCCGCTCGAAGGAGCACACCACACTACATTAAAAATAAGCACGGTAAAAATTGTGACAGTGAAGGCATGATAGGAGGATATAGGAAATTTGAATAGGCCAGGGCAGAAGGAAAGCTACCACAACTGTTTAGCCCACGTTTGGTCAAAGGATCGGCTTCACTTGTATTTTTGACGAGTTGTAATATGGTGCTACGAATGGCGAGACTCACTGACGATACCGGCGAAACGTCTAGGAATGTACCACGTCCACCGTCCTGCTCTGGAAATGATGATGTATACAATCGACTCAAGACTAGGTCCGTTCCTATACGTCTTTTTACCAATATGACCAAGTTGCGAAAACAAGGTCAAACAACTTCGCTACATTCTGTTTTCTCATATCGCCTTTCGTATGGAAACCGCCTCAATATAACAAAATCAAAGCTCGGCTCTTGTTGGTCTTGATTTTAACTCCTTAATAAATTGCCTATATTTTGCAGCCCCGATCAGACTGCCATGCTTATTTTTTCTTCTATTGACTTTGTTTTAGGAGGTCATAGCCTGTTCCTCATGTCGTCAACTTTGCCCGACTTCCGGGTTCTTCAGCGATCTGTCTGCTACTAGTATTAGTACTAGCACCAGCTGTGGTGGATACTCGAATGGCAATTGTAGTTGCAGTTGTTGCTGTTGCTCGGCTGCGTCGGCTTCCAGCTCGGCTACTTGGACCCATGGGGGTAGCCTAAGTGGGAATATTTGTAGTAGGGGCACGAGCCCTATCAGCTTGGCACTTGCAACCATCTGTCAGACGCACGGGCCAACTGTAGCACAATCCAATACTCAATATTTAGAAAAGACACACACTCAATCACACGCATATGCACATGCTCATTGCAGTCATCACCTGCATCACCAACATCATCAGCGCCAGCATCCCTGCAGTCACCCACAGCAAACTATGCTTCTGCAACATCTTCATCACCACCATCAGCAGCATCTCAAACAACACACACATTCACACTTGCCATCTAAGACACAGCCTAACCACTCAACGGAGCTGGCTTTTCCTCTATCACAAGCCAACTCCGATATAATATTGCCTGCTCAGGCAGAGCTGGGTTGCACCATCTGCAACCAAGGAATCGCCAACGCTACTGTTTCTAGCCCGTGTTCATCCTACCTCCTGCCTCCATATAAAGCGCCTAGCATATACAACGCCTTATCAGCAACCACTACTAACTCTGGAATTGCTCTGGGTTCCTCTAAATACCAGGCAAACAGTGTAATCTCCCAGGATAACCAATACTCTCCTATTACTCAGTAAGCTATACGTTCATTCTTGGCTTCATTTGATATTACAACCGCTTTTATCATCTCTCCATTCCTAATTGCAACATTTTCTGTTAGTATTTGTTTGCTATCTC